TGAAGAGCATAGAGATTGCCTTCACGAATACCCTTCATTACAATCAAAGAACCACGAACAACCTTCTTTACTCCATTCCATGTTACAATCTTGCAACTACCGGAGTCTAAGGCACCAACAGAGATGAGGTTCTTTCGCAAATCAGGAACCTGTCTAACATCCATCAATGTTCTAACCACTCCATCATGCATCTTGATTCTAATTGAACCAAGCCCCACCGTTTTACATGAATGGTTATTACCCATCAACACGGTTCTACCATCAGTGCTTCTATAGGTAGCAAACCACTTCCTATTTGGACACATATGGTAAGAGCATCCAGAGTCAAGAATCCACTTACCGGAGGTTTCTTCATCACAAGAGATGGTGTAGCACTCATCGCTTTCCCCTCCTTTCGAGGCATAGCTTACCTCTTGCTTGACTTGCACCTTCCCACTGTTGTTGTTCTTATTGTTCTTCTTCCAACCATTTTTGTTTGGACAATTCGCCTTGAAATGCCCAAGCTCGCCACATTTGAAACAAGACCTTTCCGCAAGAGGTCTAGAACTCGATCTAGATTTTTCTCCCTTGCCCTTTGGTCGCATATTACTTCTACCCCTTACAAATAATCCTTGAGCTTGTTCCTTGTTACCAATGGTAGACATGCCACTAGTTGCAATCTTTCGAAGATCATCTGCTAGAAGTGACGTTCTAGTGTCCTCCATCACAAGTTTATCACCCACAAGTATCAATGTTTGTACTAGGTTCTCGTAAGACTTTGGCAATGAAAGAAGTAGTAGAAGTGCTTGATCCTCATCATCTACATCCACATCAATGTCCTTCAAGTCCGATATGATCCTATCAAACTTGTTGACGTACTCTCGGATTGGTGTACCTTCATCCATCTTGCAAGTATACAATTTGGACTTCAAGTAGATCCGATTTGTTAGAGTCTTCATCATGAAGGTCGCCTCCAACTTTGTCCACACCTCCGCCGCCGTTACCTCACTATCAACCAAGAAAGCAACATCTCTTTCAAAGCAAAGAATGATAGACGTTCGTGACTCAAGATCTAGCTCTTCCCAATCCTCGTCCGACATATCAACGTGCTTCTTCTCCTTTCCCGCCAATGCCTTGTGCAACTTTTGAGAAATCAACAAATTTTTCATTTGCATTCTCCAATATGAAAAATCATTCTTCCCATTGAATTTCTCTATCTCATACTTCCCAATCTTCACCATTCCTCTAGTAGACATAATTTATTCACTTGTTTGCCGAAAATAAACCACAAAAGTTCACTTGGAAATTTTCACAAACACCTTGTGCACAACAAAGTTCAAGCAACTCACCACAAAATCGAAGCTTAACCACCTTGATTTAGGAAGAAGCTCTGATACCAAATTGTTGAGAAAATGACCTTCCAAAGGTTGCCCAAGAAATTAAGCTTGACAATATGAAAATTCTCAAACCACTTGAAGAACAAGAAAATGGGGAAGAAATGATTTTCAATATATAAATGAAGAACAATGGATTGGATTACTTGAACAAGCCTCAAGTTAATCCCCAAGAAAAGAAAATAGCTTTGAATTTATACCCAAGAAGAACAACCTCTTACTTGTTAAATTCAATCCAAGCTCTCTCACTTTTCTCTCCAAAAAACGGGTTACAATGAAGGGGAAAAACCAGCTATATAAATAGCTGAGTCGGGCGCCATGACGCCCATGAGTGGCGCCATGGCGCCAAGTTTAGGCAGAACCTTGGGCGCCATGGCGCCAGCATCACTGGTCCATTTTTCAAGTTTGGGCGCCATGGCGCCTGACTCCCTGCACCACCTCTATCTCACACTTAGTTTGTTGATCCTCTTGCTCAACGGTTTTCTTTAAAGAATCTTGATTCTCTCTCTTACTTTCTTGGGGTTGAAGTTTTTCCACATTGCCAAGGTATATTACTCTCTCAATATCGATATATTCTTGATTTATTGCATAGAAATCAAATGGCAAATGCAAAATCAATCATCATACCATTACTATATCGTTATTCTCCTACTCTAATTTCAAGTTCACCACTTTTTTATCCAAGTATCGTGCAATTATAGGGAGCCTTCAATACCTGTCAATCACTCGTCCAGATATATCTTTTTTAGTTAACAAGTTATCATAATTTAGGCATCAATCATCTACTGAACATTGGATTCTTGTTAAGCGATTATTGCAATATTTATTTGGTACTTCGAATGAAGGCCTTCTTCTTCATCGTGAGTCTCCCTTTTCTTTTCAAGCATTTTTAGATGCAGATTGGGCTGGTAATAAAGATGATTACTCATCAACTGGTGCTTATCTTGTTTATCTTGGTCGAAATCTTATTCTTGGAACTCTAAGAAATAAAATACGATTGCTCGTTCTTCTACAGAGTCTGAGTACGGCTTACTCACTGCAACTGCTGCAGAACCTAGTTGGGTCTGTTCTCTTCTCACGAAACTTGGGTTTCACTTTGCCTCATTCAGCTGTTGTACATTGTTATAATGTTAGTGCAACCCAGCTGTGCTCTAACCCTGTTCTTCACTCTCGAACAAAACACGTGGCTATTGATTATCACTTTATTCGAGAAAAGAGTTCAATTAGGGGTCCTTTGCGTGGCTCATGTGTCTTCTGTTGATTAGCTTGCAAATGCTCTAAAAAAGCGTTATATCAACCTGTTGTTAGTTCAAAGTCAATATTGGCCTCTCGTTGTCTTGTGGTCCATCTTGAGGGAGCATATAAACTGTATTTGTATTATTTGTAATTTGAAGTTAACTTTTGAAATTATTTGGTTATGATCTTCTTATCTGTAAGTTATTAATATCACTTCTTCCTTAGGTATAGACATACATCTGTAAAGTCTGTTAATCTGATGTGTATATACTCTTGAAATCAAAAGTGTGTGAGCAATTCTTCTCTCATTTTACCATTGTTTATAATGCTAATGTTGTACAAGAGTATTTCAACTCAGTTGCAATTTTATGTGAAAGTTCTAAATCCATGGACTTCAGTAAACACATAAAATCGAATTTTGTCATAATGCATATAAACTTGAGCACCAACTACAATAAATTTAATCCATGTAAAAATCATATACATAATCACAATTCTCAAAACATTTAATACATAAATGGATTCATCCTATTTCTTGAATAGACACAATATAT